TATTCTGCAATTCTAATAATATATTCTGGTTTTGAGGACCAAGGTAAGTACTAACTGCAAGTGCACCTACTGCAAGATTTTTTTTCTCACAAAATGCTGTTGTCTCACTCCTAAAGAGGAATCACAATGAAAAAGCATCTTATTCACAAGTCATCAAGTCACATTCCTCTGCCACACCAGTCTCCCTTCATAATTCCGCATCCCAATTTTCCTCAAAGCATTCAACAGCATACATTCAATTAGCAAAACAATCCCATCTGTTCCACAAGTCAATACTGACAACTTTACTGTTAAAATACATGTTTTTCTCTTGGTGCAGCTGTGCTTAATCTGTCAAGGGGAGAAGAGCCTGCTGTGCTCAGAGCATTGTGTTGAGTGCCCAGGTTCTCATCACAGGGCTGCAAAAGCCCAGCTGGCACTGGGAGCTTCCAAAGGCCTCCAAAGCCCCATCCCTGGCCACTGAAGCCCCTGGGATGCCCCTAAGACATCCACATTCCCTAAACATAGACCTCCAAAGGCACTCCACAGAACCATTGGCAACAGATCCCTTTTCTCTCTGTTTCTTTAAGTTTTGATGAGAGACACAGAACAAGCTCAAACAAAAACAGCAAACAGGCACCAGAGGCTGTGATTAGCAGTAGGACACTTGAATTGAGACCCTAATGGGGAACAGGGCAGTAAGAGCCAGCAGAACCTCATCCACCAGCAGGGACTGCTTCCCAGCCTTGGGACTGCATACTTCATCCTCTCCCCCACAGCGTGAGGTGCAGGAACTCATACTCTCTGACTGTAAACCAGGCACCTGAGTATCACTACAGCAGAAAGCCTCAGGGGCTCACTTACTCCTGGGTGTCCCTACCACTGAGCAGACCAGACCTGCCTGTCCCAGGTCTCTGTCACGCTGCAGTTATTATACAGCTTCCTCCTGGCTGCAGTGCCGTCATGCTCCTGATGAGCTCTTGCAGATTGTCTTCCTTCAGCTTACAATATTAAGAAAATATGGAAAAAGATGAGATAGCGTCTGCCTCGTTCCGATCCTGCCTCAGTCACAACCTAGAGGGCAAGCTTAGCTCATGGCGGGAGATAAAAGGTAGGACGAGGTATCCAAGTCAATCGCAGGTGATCCAAACTTGTCAGCCTGAGAAAGGAGGATATAAAGGATGAACTGTTGACCTCAACAGGAATGGAAATATAAATAAAATAGTCTGGATAAAAGCAGGGACCGATCATTTAAACCAGGGACCTGGAGAAGCAAGGAACTTTGTCCCACTGATGTGCTAGATAAATGGGATTGATTCTGCCGTGGGGCTGCTGTTAATCTATTAAATATTTAGGGAGATTCCACCCCCACCTTTTGATTGAAATGGCTGCAAGCAGGTTTCCTGTTCTTGGACAGCAGATGAATTTTAACTTTCACCTTTCCACAGAAGCAGCAGTCTTGTTAGGGAGGGCATTTGTACACTTACACCATCAGTGTAGGGTACACTGTACCCCTCACCAAAATGCAGGCATTCAAGAGGAACAGATTGGTTCATGCAGTATTCCATGAAATCCTCACTGCAAGCAGTGCAAGCATGCAGGTAACAATTAAATCTGTAAGAAACAAATCAATTAATCCAACAGCAGTGCAGTCAGTTGGCCCTGAAGCAAGTCAATTGAATTAACAAAGCAGGGCAGTTAAAGCAGGTTAACAGAAAAAAGTAAACCTAGAGTCATTTAACAACATGACACCAAAATGTCCTGGTTCCATCAGAGCCCAAAAGGTATTTTTACCACCTGCTGGCCACAAAGCTCCCCCTGCAGCCAAAGCTCTGAGGGACTTGATCCTATAGCACTGCTGACAACTGCTTGGCTTAAGACTTGAGTGCCTTCGCCTCTCAGAAAAACCCATCTCTTTATTGACAGCAGGCAGTGTCCAGGGAAACCAGGCTGACCAGGCTAAAGTTACTGCTCTGTTCACTCCTTTGAATCCTCTGCTTGAATCAATTCAAGCCCTTCTGCACCCTAGACCAGTACACTGTTCACTAGGTTATCCTGATCAACCCACTCAAGTGAACATTTGCAAGCCCAGCCCCCAGAAGACACCATCCATGGCTAGTACAGAGATGCAGAAATGATCTCCAAAGCCACGTGTGACATTTCATTAACACTCAGCCCCACGTGGATGTGCTTCCAAAGCAGCAAAGCTATACTTAACAAATACATATGATTTCCTAGAAAATTATGTGTGTGACTTGTAAACATGAGGGCTAGTGATCAAGTTGAGCCTGCTACAAAGAGACTGCTGAAAGCAAAACGTTTGGGGCACTGCAGTAGCAGCACATTCTCTAGCAGTGAGCGAGACAACCTACCTGGACACTGCCAGCACGCTCCAAGGGCAGTAAGCCAGAGGAAGGCGATGCCACTGTGGGACTGGTTGCCATCAAGATGGTGGTGCCACGTGCTGAAGGTGTAAGCGGGATGCCAACAGGTTATTCAGGTACAACAAAATGTGTTATATTCGAGCACTTTGGGCAGAAATCAAGAAAAAGGCTTTTATGGCACAACAAGAAGCTCGCATTTACAGCACAGAAGCCACTCAGTTACTTCTCATTATCACCATAGCTTCCTATTATCCGCCAGGAAATAGCGTACGTTCATTTCTCTGCCATCAGCCATCCACCTCGTCCTGTTCATGCATTTCTACTCGTCTCAGATACGTCTATCAGCAAGTTTCAAAAGACATGCAAGGTTTGATTATAAAGATAATGTGGCTCTATATTTTCCCCCAGCTGAAAGCTTTCCTCTCTTTTTAGCCCCCAACCTTCATCCCTCATACAGCTGTCAAGTTCTGCAAACAAATCCACGTCTCTGAGTCAGATAGCTCCCAGTAGGTCAAAATTGTGCAAAATATACTGTGCACATAATCAGAAAAACATGTACAGTAGTAGTGCACGTAGATGCAATCAATGACTTCAGCTTCAGCCCTCGTGAGATAAGAACATACCAACCCCCTTCTGTGAAAGAGGACAGCAACGTCTGGAAAAATCACGAGTTGCAAAACTGTACCTTGTTTTCCAAGTCCCAGTTTAAAGCCAGAACAAAATACCCTTTTGCCCTTGTTTAAAAAGAAATGCTGAACTTTCCAAAGATGCTCCAAGCATGCAACCCACTAATCTAGTCCAACATGTTACACAAAGCCCAGCAGAGGGATGAAGTCGCCCTCTATGAATGCATCAATCCTTATCATTAAGACTTGTTAAGACAGGACATTATCACAGACATCATCTTCAAGGCAGAGGGAAAATCCAAAGGTACAGTTCCTCTGCCAAAATCCTGTCACTTTGATGCCACAGAAGCCCTGACTCCAGAATGCCATTCCTACCTTTACAGAAGGCATGATGCAGAAAGGGGGCAAGCTTCAGTGGGCTGTCAGTTTTGACCCTCTATGCGCCAAGGTAAGGACATAAGGAGGGAAACTGCAGTAAGCAGAGAACGCCACAGGGCCTGCCAAGTTCTTGGGAGTCTCTCCTTCAAATGAAAGGAAAGTCTTTATGAAGCCTACATGCATATACTCCTACTCACATGAGAAAAGGGGAGTGTCAGTTGTCAGCACTGAGCCAAAGTTTAGCTCACATGAAATGGTCCCCTTCCACCCCTACTCTGACCTCTGCTTCTCCCTCTGGAGTACCACATGTACAGCACACCAGAGGCACCTTATCACAAATAGAGACCACAGACTGAGGCAGCCAGATTACTCCTCCACTATTAGTAGGAGAAGAACTGCCTTTTTGGGTTGTTTTTTGGTGTTTTTTTGGTTGGTTGTTTTTTTTTCAGGATATAGAGAATTTTCCACCTGGCTCAGGAAACCCTAAGCTTGTAATCACTTGCCTAGGCCATGATAGTGTCCTTGCTAGTTATCACCTTTAGCCTCAAACAGCACCAGAACAGAAGGAAAAAAAAAAGAAGACATAACATTTTCCAAGGACAATGAATTAGTTCAGCAAAATTTGAAATACACAAACTGTTTACCAAAGAACACCTAGGAGTTACTAGCCAATAAACCATAAACTTATTTTTGTTTAAATACATTATTTAATGAGTTTTCTTTAAGAAAGATATTTTGAAGCTCAAATTACAATGAAGTACAATCTTCTAGATCTACAGTAGACAGTGCTATAAACATTTACCAAACAAGACATTTTAATGTTTGCTCCTCTGTTATTTTAATTATTTAAGAAAAAGGAACTAAAAATCTCTTGTTAACAGTAATCCTGTTCTACCTTGGCTATTTCACCCTAGAACAGAATAAGGACAACAGCCTGTTACCACAGTCCTCTCCCAAAATACAGACCAAATGTCAAGCAGGAGCAAGACACTGTCATGCTTGCACACTAATTCAGCCTTTAAAAAGTGACAAGTGAAATGGAGCAGGTGGTTAGAGGCAATACTGGAAAAGGGTGTTGCTCCTTTCCCACAGGAATCACAAATAGATGCCCTTTTGCTACCAAAGTCTAATTGCCATTGAACTCGTGTTCATTCAGCACAGTCAAGCAAATTTGAGTTTGTGTAGGTAGTTTGGAGTTCATTTTTCTGCTTCTCCTTATTATTTCCCCTCTTCTCTCTGTATCCAATATTTTCTTCTCCCTTTCTTATCCCTTCATGATTTTTATCTTCAGTCACTCAGTCCCAGTGGGATACAGTCAGAGCACCGCTCCTCTTCAGTCCTCTGGAACTGTCAATACTGTGGCAAAGGGCAAATCAATAGTGCTGAATTAGCACTAAGAAAGAAAAGAAGAAACAGATCAATTCCTCAGAGAGTTGTTTCTTATCTTTTAAAGGCCACTTTGTGAGGCCTTTAAATTCTGAAAGTACACGTGATCTTCTGCAGTTATTGTAAAAATGTGATCAAGCTGAAAAAGTTTCGACACTTCTTGGTTTAACTGAGCAGCACGCTGATAAGCCACAGCAAGCTACTCTTTGAGAGCTGCTGCTCAGCTATTCAGACATAAAAGCAGACATCAGGTGTAAATTTTATATTTATTATAACAAAAATTATGACATGTTCATTTGTGCATTCAGCTTTAATATAACTCTTGGTATGTAAATGTTCTACAGCAAATGAGCTCTATACAATCATGCTGGTTGTGGCAGCAGTAAGGAACACAAACAAAACGTGTCTGTAAAAGTAAGGAAAGAAAGAGACCGGAGAAAAAAGTGGGTTTCTTCAAATGGTCTACACCACCTTGGCTCTGGCTAACTTGTACACAGCCACGCAGTCCTTCGCGCTCCACGACCGTGGCCCAAAGAGTCGCTTTTAAGAAAAAAAGGTCAGTTTTTCAGGTTGTGTCCTTAATGCCAAAGCTACAAAACATGTAAGCATCACTATACAACACTGAGCTATTTACAGGAATTTCCCAATCAACTGTTCTCTCAGAGAAAATTAGTGAATCTCAGTGACTTACGTCACCTGAAAGAGTAAAGCAACTCCTAGGAGTTAGTCTCCATATTCTACAAATGTCTATCATTTTCAAGACCAAAAAAAGCCTTTTCTCTCAAAGAAATACAGTATTACAATATTACTTAAATCATTTAGCACTGGCTACTGCCCTGCTTTTCAAACAAAACAAACAAGCCATTTTAAAAAATATTACATCATCATCTGTTTCTCAGCAATATATTAAACCTTTTTATTTTTTTTTATTTTTGTTTTGTTTTTCTGTTTTTACACTTGATATGTTAAGGGAAGGTTAACTATTTTAAACTTTACCAGTCAAGCGTCTCTAGAAGAAAGTCAATGAATATTAAACCTAACAAACTGAAAAGCTGCAGTTATCTGTAGTGGCAGGATAAGGAAAAGGAAGTATATAAAGGAAAAGGATAAGGAAAACCCCTGCTGTAATGCAAGCCCACTGGGTCTCACACTCTAGTGTCCTTATTTGTTAGTTTATTTCTGAGCAGTAAATAGAGTGGGTCATAGTGGTGTATCGTAATAGTCTGCCAGGTGGTCCATCGGATATTGCCTCTGCTGCTGCTGCTGCTGCTGTTGTTGTTGTTCCTGGTGCTGCTTCATAATCTCCTTGACTTCTTCCTCAAGCTCTGGTGGGATGATGAACTGGTCATCAGGATCAGGCTGTGCTGGAGCAGCAAAGTAGCCCCCGGTTTTTCTGAGCGGCGCATCCGTTGCAACTTCAATTAAGTTATGGCTCCTCTCGTGCGGTGCCACAGAGCCATTGCCCCGCCGGCGCCCTATTGTGCCCGTGGCAGAATATTCAGCTTTCCTGGGAAGGCCGGGCTCATCTTCATTGGCACTGATGACGATACCTTCGTCGCTGGCTTCCACCGGCACCTGGAGCAGTTGTTTCTCCTTCACTCGGCTGCAGTGGATGTCCACCTCCACCTCCACGCGGCTGCCGTTGGTGAACACCCCCTCGATCGGCTCCTCGTCGTCGCTGTCAAGGCCGTTGTCGGAGAAGGCGCTGGAGAAAGTGGCGCTGGAGAGCTGCCGCTGGAAGGAGTTGGACAGGCAGACGGGGTGCAGCATGCAGCGCTGCTCCCCCGGGTAGGCCGGGCTGTTCTCATTCATGGCTACCTGGGGAGGCTCATCGGAGGCCGTGGACCCCACCTCACTGCTCATCTCGGAGGTGGAGATCTCGCTGCTGATTTCCGAAGCCATGCCGCTGCTCGAAGACGGCATCCCAAGCGCATCTGTTGGCCTGTCCTTGATGACCACATTGACAGACTGGGGGAAAATGCCTGGGCTGGGGGGTGGGACCCCGTTAAGTTCGCAGCAGCAGAAGCTGTCCTCCGTCACGTTGAGCTGCACCACGACGGCGCTGATACTGTCATTGCAGCCGTAACTCTGGGCCAAAGTGCAAAGCTTCTTGGCGGCTGCCAGCGCATCGGGCACGTTCCTGACTGCCTCCACTGCTTCCTCCATCGAGAGACTGTCCCACAGCCCCTTGCTTCCCAGAATGAAGAACTCATCTTGCGGAGTTAAGGTGATGGACTGGACGTGAGGACGCGGCACAACACTTGGGTGAAGGAAGGTGTAACCCAAGATTCTTGTTGAATCTGTCACACCGTTCACTTTGCCATCCTGAAATTAAAAAGGACAAGAAATTGGAAACAAGACAGACAAGGATACACAGTGCCTGCATCTCCTTGCATTTTATTGACGGCTGTTTTTGCAGTACCCCCAACACTGCCATTTATAGTGCCATTTAAGGAGACGGAAAAGCAAAGTGACTCGCAAAGAGAGACAGAGCTGGGATCAGAGCACAGCAAAGGCTGGTTTGCAATCCTGCACTACGCCTCCTACACCCGACTGATTTGTCATCAGCATCACCTATGCACAGACCAACAAAGCAGAAGGCTGCAACAAAGAGCCATCTATTCTGCCCCTGCAGCTGCAAGAGCCAACTGGACAAATGTTTTACTAGTGAGTCAGACTTATCCCTCCTCCACCCACGATATCTGGCTCTATACAGGGCAAAGCAGCACACAGCTCCATTTGATATAGGGGCAGGTCATTCAGTTATGAGTCTTCTCTTGCAGCTGTAACAATCGTAGGTTTCATCTTGGCTCATCACTTCAGAAACAAAAGTTCATTAAAGAAATACTTTAAATGAAGCATGCAAGTCAAATGTAGCAGAGAGCAAGTCTGCATGTCTCAGTCAGCTGAGTTGTAGTGAAATGTTTTACATGCCCCAATTACTTACTACATTTCCACTTAGATATGACATTTCCAAAGGGAGGAGGAGTAGTATCTGAAGGGAAAACATCAGTAAAAATGGACGCATTTGAGAAAAAAAATCCCATGCACGTCCAAATCCCAGAATCCTGTCCTGGTTAGAATCCAAGCTGCCAGAATAAGCAGAGCAAGTGTCTGAAACAGCAAGCCTAGCTATCTGTCAGCCTGCTGGGGAGAGCTGCACCCTGCTAATTGTGTGTTTGGGAAGCACTGCAAAGGTGAGGATTACACTCTTTGGGTCCAGCTAACAACTGTAGGGTTTATTATGAAGTGGATAACCACGGAAAAGTGAACCAAGACTAAAAAAGCTGCTTCTTTAAAACCACTCAGAAGAAATAAAACCCCATGTTGGCTTGTTAACTTCCCCATTAGAAGGCTGACAGCAGTGATAAGCCATCAAAGCACATGAAATCAGTGAGCCATCTTAAGATTCAGCACAGAAATCTCCCTTTTCCTCTGCCGAACAACATAATGAGCATGCCTTGGTGATGCACACTATGTTGGAGTGACTCCCTTTCAACCTGTCACATTTGAGATCCCAGTCGTCACCTTTCCCTGGCAAGATCAATAGGCACATGACTTATTCCACACACACACATCCCTACACACACACGTGCACACTCTGCTCTCGGGCACACTGCAGTGAGTTTTCTGCCCTTTCCTCCACCATTAGGAGGGCTCGATATTTATCCACGTGTCACAAAAGACAAAGCAAAACTGACAGCAGTGGCTTCAAGCTTCTAAGAAGGGAACAAATAGTTTTATCCTCTCTCATGGTTCAGCTGAGCGCAGGGTGAGTTTTCCTTTTGGGCAAGTGCTCTCTTCAAGAGCAGCCTGTCAAAGGGCAGTTCTGGGAACATAGGAGTTCAGACAGCAAAGTCAGCCTGCCGGGAGCAAGGAGTCTCCTAAGGGAAGGACAGCATTGCTCTCCAAGTGCTCTGCCCTCTCATTCTTTTCACTTGGAAAGGCTCCTCATGACAGCTCCAACACAGCAATTCCTCTCCCATTAGGAGGAGGGTGTCTGCTTTCCTGTTCCAACTGCTCACTCTCGGAAGGTAATCAAAATCCTGCATGGCAATGGGATGGAAAAGCAACTTGATTGCATGGTATGAATCACCTTGAAAGGAAAAGTGCATTTCCAGAATCCATACCATGAACACTACCTCCTAGACGTTACTAATATCAACATGTAATTTCACGCACTGTTGTGCAAATATTCTTCAAGGAAGCTGCAAATTGTAACAATTCCAGATGTTCTCTAACCTCTGTGATAATGGCCTTATGCTGCTTAATCCTCTTCAGCTCTTCCTCACAACTCATCACGTAACACCTGGACAAAGGCAGAGGTTTCCCATTCCGGCAGAGAACAGTTTGGCACTTCCCCACGTTTGCTGAGGTTAGCGTGAAGCATCCACCAGGGTCCATGGGATCATGTTTTATATGGCAAAGGACAGCAGAGCCTCCAAGTTTCTGTCCAGCTGTTCCAAGTTTCCTGGAATTAAACAAAACAATGATTGTTCTTTAACTGGAAAACAAGTGTTAGGGGTGCTACGGAGAAACAGCCGCTGTTCCACAAGCATTCAGGGCCCTGACTCTGTCGGATCACTGGGACAGAAACAAAAGTCCCCACTGAAGACTGTGACACTACAGCAGAAGCACTGCAGAGATCTCACGTGCAACTTTTCAGGCAGTGTGTTATTTTCACATTAGCAGATATTCAAATCTGCTCAATTTTAGAAAAAAAAATCTTTTGCACTTTTAAAGAATTTCAGGTTTTTTTTTCCTTTACATCTTATAGATATTTGTTTTAAAGGTCAGGTGGAGCTTTGGCTTCCGAAGCTACAGATTTTGTTATAATAATAATAGTTCTGATTGTAAAAACTCTACTTTTGAGCAAAAACAGAAGGCAGAGGTTCACTGTTTTATGATGTGTCCAGAATAATGCTCTTTAAAATATCAAATGTTTAGTTAAAAAAAATCACAGTGGCTCTGAAATCCACTGTTAGGAGGCACTTTCCAAAGGTGCAGCAATTCAACAATAAGCAATACTATTTTTAATTTGGTCCACTTCCTTAGTTCTAAGCTGCTTATCTGCTTTCTCCTTTGTTTCCCTGACCTCTTCCTTTCTTCAATTCTCTTCGTACTCCTCCTTCACTCAGTGTCTCCCTGGGCACAATTTCTTCTTCTGTCAAGAAGAGCACACACAGTTTTCAAACCACTACAATGTCTCTGGATGGGTCCTGCTCAAATGATATTCTAAGGCCAAAGGGATTTCTAATGAGTCAAACTATCTGTTTTAAATAGCTGTGTAGCCTTAAATAACCTGAATTGGTACAGAGAAACAGAAAGAGCAAGTCTAGACTTTGCAGGTGGCAGTAGTAAGGAAGTTTAAAAAGATGATCAACACATTCACAGCACTGACTTGGTTATGGCAAATTGTGAACAGTAAAACTTAGAGATGATACAAAAAAAAGAATAGATCTCCACCCACTACTTAGTCATGGGCATTTAGTAATTCTGTAGGTGAGCTGGAGTTTTTCTCGTTTGGCTGGGGAGGTGTTGGGGTTTTTCTCCCCACACCTGAAAGGAACAGAGAGCAATATCCACAAAACATGCAATAAAAGAAAACGCTGTAGCCAGATACCAAGGGTATTCCCCCACCTCACATTTTTTTGAAGCAAGAGCAGGTGTCTGACCTGAAAGCAAACAACCTGCCCAGAGAGCACAGCCAAGGCAAAAAATTCTTCAGATCCAAGACTCACCTCTGCATAACAATGAAAGTGTTGATCATGTATTCCTCCTCATTCTTTGTTTTCTGTAGTTCTTCTGCTAAGATGTCACTCATGGTGCACTGCAGCAAATACGGCACTTCCACATTGCGGTCACCATCAAAAACACCATAAAGTGCCTCCCGGTTGTCGCAGAAGTTGTTGGCTGAAAGTGCTGCCACACACAGCCTAGTGAAAAAACGAAGCAGGAGAACATCAAGGATGTACCCCACTATTAGTTTCTCAACTTGTCATTTTGGCCTGGTCTGAAAGCTAGCTGTAACCACCCCTGTTCACAGGCATTTCAGGACTGCTTTCTGAGTGTGGAGACAAGTCAGGCCCATCAACAGTGCTAAGATAGGGAGGAAATTATAGTGGAAGTTCAAGCCAAGCCCTAAACATTCTTCCTCCTTTTTAACATGTGAACTAGTCCCTTATTTGTAGAAAAAGGGGAGAAAGTATCCCTGACACACCGATTTAAACTGCACTCGCTCCTCCAAAAGCCATCTTTGGGACCAACTTGCATGTTAAATCAGTTAACAGTTGGTAAAGGCTTGCTGGCACTTGCTACAGAAACCTAGGTAGCAAAGGATTTCTCAAAAGGTATTTGAGGAACAAAGAAAGATTAATCACAATGCTCCTGGGTAGATTATTTGTCAAGTGCTGCTTTAATCACAGGAGTGCCACAGACTATGAATATTCAGAGTTTTGGCCATTCTGTCTCTTCCTTTAGTATCTCTGATTTGCTTGGTAAACATCCTCTGATTGAAGATAAAGAAGCTTTGCAAAGAGGAAAATGCTTTCAAACACTCAGATCTTTTGCAAGTACCAGAGCCTTGCACAGACCAAATGTGTTGGCTACACTTGTATCTTAGCAACTTCCCTAACAAAGACCGCAGTGGAGAGCCAAGCAGAGCTTGGTATACAAATGCAGGGTTGTGACACGGCCTCTGCCTCTGTGAGTCCCAAAACTTTCACTGAAGAAAGGATTTTTTTATCTTGGCGTAGAGGAGCTCTGCTGCTGGAGTGCCCATGTAACAAAACCCACGCCAGGTCGTACTTGTTCTTGACGCCGGACGCCTCCGTGTAGCCGTGACTCCACACCGCCGGCGCTCCTGACGTGTCACCGGCTGAGGGCTGGTCGATCTTGAAGCAGCGGATATTGCTGCAAGGAGAAAGGAGAGGGGAAAGATGCAATGGATTGAAGTGCTGACACGATCCAACTTGAAACGTGAAGAGAATACCTTTTTCTACTCTCCCGGTTCTTAGCAATACATTTAACAGAAGAAAATTAAACAGGACATCCAAAAGGGTTACCTTTATGTGCCTGTATACAACAAACAATGCTTTTGACAGCCTCTATGAGGGTGTCAGCTGCACTGTTTTGCTTAGCTGGCTGTTCTTTCCCTGACCTCACCCCAAGCTATTTGACTCAAACCTGGCCCTGTAGGAATACAAAGCAAATTTGTCACTAGTTTGATGAAAGCCAGTACAGGGAAGTGCCTTTTTTTTTAATTTATACATCTCTCCCACCCATTTTAACAAGTCTCTGCACTCTTTTCATTGTACTCAAATGAAATATCCTGTATGACCCACAGTATCCCCTAAATGGAAGAAAAAAATTATTTAGAAGCAACAGCATGTAGTAACAGCCTTTCATGAAAACACCCACAAAACTGAAATCAGCTCCATCCTGGTCCTGAATCAACCTGCCTGTGGTCCCGACAGCAGGCAACAGCCCTTCTGCCTTCTTCAATTGTGCAGTCCAATTTTACTCAGGCCCTTGATCCTCTACCCTCCAATTTACTGCCAACATAGCCTTTAGCCTGAATTTCAAGTATCTCACGGAGCATAGTAAAGACTTAAAAAGGGCCCAGCCCTCTTTGTTTATACCCTTCTCCTCACAGCCCTGATTTGCTGGGGAGAGATGACCTACCCCCTGCTCCCTACTGCTCTCTTCCAAAGGCAGGAAAAGCGAGCTCCCCACACGCTGCAGAGACTTCAAAGGCACCCAAACCTTTCATGAACCAAAAGAAACATAAAAGGACACAAGCAGAAAGGTCTAACTGTTCACTCTGAGCATTCATTTTTTCTCTGTCCAAATCCCTACCTGACCTAAACACACAGAAAAGTCTTTTCAGCATTGCACGGTCTTCCTCAAATAACCTGAAGTACTGTCACATCCAGTTTGATTTCTTCTACATTAATAGCCAGGATGTACATCAGCGAGGGCAGATTAAAAGCAAACAAATTACATAAATAATGTTAGAACCACTTGTGTTTTAAGTTTTTGGTTCTGCAGCCCTCCGTGTGGCAAACAGGAGGCAAACTTCTTGCCACAAGCATTAGAAGAGATTATCTAACCCCAAATCAGGCTGGAAACCTGGATCTCTTCTAAAGTAGCAGAGATTGTAATTCTGTCTGCACCTGCAAAGCAGTACACATATGAGCAAACACTCTTTCTTTGCAGACTTCTCACACAAGGCACTTATCTCCAGGGCACAGGAACTTGGGTCAAAAAGGTTTCTGTTTCTTTTTTTAAGTGGGTTGACTGACCATTGATTCCTGGGCAGGTCAAGGACCCGAAGTTGTCTCGAGGCTTCCCAGCAGTGGTGAAAAATAAAAGATTCCTCAACGCACTGCTTTCAGCCTCCTTAATAGCACCACTACAAACAGACGTGTCCAGAAAAGAATGATATCTAGCAGCACATCCTATGCAGGCAATATGGGCTAAGGCTTCTGAAGAGCATGGTTAATTTCCCCTCCTTTAAGATCTCCATACATATTAAAAAAGCAAGCATGCATGACAGGACTCTTCTTCTCACCAGCACTGAGAATACATATTAACCTACTACCTGCTTGAATCCTGCCAGGGCGCAGATGGAGAGCTGCCTTTCACATGCAGAAGGAAGATATAAAAAGTATCAAGTGCACAAGTATTTTTGTGCCTGCCAGGAAAATCAAGTGAAAGAAGCGCCTCCTCCCTCACAGTCAATTATAGCAGTATACCATAGAAAGTCAGGGTAGAATATCAGTACAGACTGAGAAACCTCTCAGAAGGCCCGAAACACCTGACTGCGTCCAATGAATATTAGTGAACGGAACAGACCTGAGGTCTTTCAAGTAATTTATTTTAAAAAATAAAACAAAACAAACAAACAAAAAGGAAACAGCCTCCCCAACAAATAATCAAGCAAGATGCACATACAAGGGGGAAAAAGTTTCCTGTGAATTAAGAACCACACATTTGCCAGTGAAAATATGGCACGTAACTGGGCCACACTTCTCTCCAACCACTTAGGATTACAATTTGTACAATAAAGCTACAATGCATGATGCCTGAACACTAACGTGGCAAGAAACTGGGTGCCCGTCTTGTCTGCTGGGTTATACAGGGCAGAAGTTCATATTTCACTTAAAGTTTTGATACAATTCATTAACTGTGTAAAACATGTATCTTTTCCCCCCTGTGAACCAGAGCAAAATTACACAGTGCTTCTGCAAGATTTCCTGCATGCAATAAAGAAGCTCTTTAAATAGAGGAATGCAATAAAGAAGCTCTTTAAATAGAGGAATGCCCCTTTTTTCACTGTCTGCTGCAGAACATGGACTCTTGTTTTTATCTGTGAAAATTCATCATTACTCAGATTTCCACTTATATTTTGTAAAACTGCTGATTCAAGCTAAAAGCAAACTCACACCATAAGATTCCCTTGCTTGCACAACAGATGAGGTTTACTACTCCAGTGTCTGATCTTAACCATTTAAAAGCAAACAGCATGAAGCAACTGATCAAACTCTAAAAAGTAAATCAATCCTCCTTGAAACCATTCAATATTTAAGAATCAAAGAGACTTAGAAGGAAACCTGGAGCTGGTGCAGTTCCCTAAAGGACATAAGAAAAGGTCAAGGCAGCACCACTATCCACAGATGATCTCGTTTAGTGCAACAGCTTCCCAGCACACTGCAGAACAAGGCACAAGGTGAATTTCAGTTATGGATGACACTTAAGTGAGGGCAGGAAATAAACAGGTAAACAGGAAGGAAACTGAGGGTCCCAAAGCAAAGGAACTAGTTTTGCTGCAAACAGAGTGGGAGATGTGAGTCTTTATGAGAGGTTTAAATACGAAAAGTGTATCATTTCTAGGACAAAAGCAGAGAGGTACGAAGGGTAACAAGAAACAGTATGTGAAGAGCTAAAAACCAGAGCAATGGGAAAGAATCCAAGCAGATAAATGCGAAGAAAGAAGAAGTAGGCAGCTACTGGCATCTCCAGAGTGGTACAAAACAGGTCTTTTGGTTGACTCTATTGTCAGAAGTAAAATGGAGATCAAACTGGCCCAATAGTGGTTAACCCAGACTAGCAGACCCCTCCAGGAGTTACAGCTGAAAGCGATTGCACTAGAGCAGATAAAGTCATCCTCTTCAAGGAAGCACCAATTTCTGACCTATCGACATAGTCTGTTACTTTCTGATCCACTGACAACAGGAAGACCTTCTTCTTACAAGAGATACACACTTCTGTGTATTGTGGTTTTCTCACATCCTAGGGACAGAGTTTTTCTGCCCTTTCCCCCTCTGTAAGGTAACTTACTTCAGCAGCTCTAGGGTTTTGTGATCCAGGGCTAATCTGGGATTTCCAGTCAGGTCCAGCTCTTGCAGTTTTGGAGGCAGGTTTTCAGGCAATGTGACTTCACTCAGTTCATTGCAGCTTAGATCCACACACTGCAAAAGGAGAGTAGCCAAAAAAGAAGACAATTCAGCTGTCATCAAGATCATACAAATTTTGATTAAATGTGATAATGCACGTTTTATGAACAATAAACGCTGCAACCAAGACCTAAGACCATTCATTTAGGTAAGCAGTTCTTACAAAAGAAATTCATATGGCATTTAGCCATCTTGCCAGATGTCTGGGACACCTAGAAATATGTTCCCTCCATTTCCATCTATAGTCAGGTGTCATCTTGTCACATCTTGTCCGCTCTTCACAGACAAAAAGTTTGCCAGTGGATTTTTGAAGTATTTAAGAAATAAATGTTATTGATAAAATAGTCTTTTAATAGATAAAGGAAATGGAGATATGTACAGCTGGGGCTTCTAAGCCATTGGCATAGCAGTCCCTCCTCCCAAAGTCATTTTAAACCAGTATGAGTATGAGCAGGCTTCCAGGAATTCAGTATTTACTGAGGGATATTAAATAAGCAGAGTTATTCATGTATGTGGAGGGGAGGTGTAGAGGAGGGAAAGGAAAAAAGTATCGTGCTGTTTTAAACATGGTTTTAATTTGTGTCATCTTAGATGGACTCATATTTAAATACTAAGTCAATAAAATAAGTGGAAAAAAAAGTTTAAATACTTCAGAAAAAATATGATACAAAACAGCAGAGCAATTTTGTAGGCTACCCACCAGATAAGCACAAATTAGCTAGAACAAGTGCACTAGAATGACAAAATTCCTACATAAACATTGTTTAAAGCTGCGTATCCAGATGAAAGTCAATACACAAGGAAAAATAGGATATTTGGGAACAAAATCAATTCTCCAAATGCTATTTCAGGACGACCAGTGCTGTACGCACCAAAAGGTGCAAAAAAAGTAATTCTGAGACGACAGAACAAGTTGGTATTTAACAGAGGACAGAAGAACTATCCACATCTTTCTGAAAGACCATTTTCTACTTTCAAGCTGCAAAAAGGGAAAGACTTCAGAAATTTTAATAAAAGAGCTAAAAGAAGCAGAGGGAGACTTTTCCTAGCTGCACATTTTGACCATTACATAATTTCCATTGATACAAGAGAGGCCCTTTCATTTTTGTAGGTGTAGACAAAGACATTGTGTCCCGAGCTAGAATAAGGCGTAAGATTAACCTAGTAAATTCTGAAAATGAAAAATCTCCAAAACATCTTATTAAATAAGCACAACGGAAATAAATTTCTAACCCAAATCTTGAATCCCAAGATTGTCTAATATGGAGGCTTTATTATCTATCAAGAACAAACTGCTGACGTTATCTAAGCCTGATAAGGAAATCAAAGTCTAAATCTGTCACGCAAACAAAATAGTAGACAGCTTAACAGCAGTTATTCCAGCGAGGTTTTTGACTCTGCACAACTTCTTGCTGCTTCCAGAGATCCAGCAATTACTTTGCAGATTAAGGAAGCTGCCAGCTTGCCTTGCTGTGTTCAACACCTCAACGCATTACAAATTTGATGGAAGAGCATGCTGGAGTGAAAAATACAAATACAGTAATTTCATTGTTCTCCTTAAATGCCCAGTGCGCCAAAGACAGCAACACTCTACAGCAGATCCCTTGGTCCCCTAGGCACTAGTGAAGAGAGCTTATTTATCAGGTTGAGATTTCTTAGGTGTCACTTGTACTGTTTGAAGAATAGGCTAAGCAGAACTTGCTGTGGACCTGTGTTAAATTTAGTGTTTATTCTACACCCCAGGCAAGCAGGAAAGTCTACATCTTAACTGATCCCAATTTCCTCATGTATGAAATGCAAGCTGGTTTTGCCCCACCTATGCAGCACCAGAGGAACGACTCCTCAAGCTGCAAGCAGGATTTTGCGCTCAAGAGGCCAGATGAAAGACAGGGTTAACAGTCAACATTTGCTTATGCTGCATCCACAGCTTTGTAACTGCTGTGTTCAAGGCTGGAAGGGACCTCAGTTATTGTCAGTTGTGACTAAAGGTGACCATACCCATATTAACCCTTTCAGCTAGGAGAAACACTACCAAAGATCAAGCATTCTGCTTTCAAGGTGTTACTGCTAGGACATCTTCATTTATTTCAGATCTCAAGGTAATGGTCTTGCAAAAGATAATCTTGATCAAAGACTGTGACAAAAAAACTTCTGTATCCCCCTCAACCAGAGCAGCCCAGCAAGACAACTATGAATAGAAGCAACTCATAAGTCAATGAAAACTGGATGATAAAGTAAAGCGAGGTCCAGGCTGGGAAAAGCAAGCCTGGGTTGCTGCTCTCTGCATAAGCAGTAAGGACTACTCAATTGTTTGACTGCACAAGAACACCAGGACAATGAATAACAATTTCATAAGTGCCCTTTTATATTTTGAACACAGTCAAACAACAGCTACAAGACAATGTCTGCTGGGGCATTGACTCAGGTGTGTGTGCTTCCAGCTGCTCAGCCATTCGCAGAAGATATTTCAGTGCACACAGATAAACCTGACAGTATAAATACCTGCCATAAAAGACAATAAAACCCCTAAAAAAATTTATTGGGCAAGATATTTCAGAGACATCCACTGGGCTCTTCAAAAGAGGGCAACACAACTTCTGTGGCCTTGGAAAAGGCTACAGAGCATATAAAAGAGTGTGTAAAAAAGGCTTAGAGTCAATTATATCGCTAAAATGACCTTGTGTCTGGAAAACCTGGAGTTATTGCAATTGTAAAAGCATCATCATTTACACTAATTTTCTTCTGAAATCATTTCAGACAGCATAGTAACTGCTGCCATGAACTGTTCCAATAATACTGACACCAAAAACATAATATGTCAGCCTTCCAGGCTAATTAAATACAAAAGCAAAATACCCATTACCTCAAGTAACAGAGTTTTCCCCAGGAGTTTAGAGTGTTTGAATGCCACCTCAGTTAAAATTAACCATCAAATATGATATATTCACAGAGGTGACATCAGACTATATGACTTTGTGCTTTGCTATAAGCAAGCTTATTTCACCAAATGACTAAATCCATACTTAAAGCAATGAATTCCAAACTTACTTTGGCACATTTTCAATGTTCTCATGTATTTAAGAAGAAGCTCAGGTAAGGCCAAGTAATGGATATAGGCAATCAGCACTAGCTTAATTCTAAACTGATAAACACCACCCCTGACCTAGAGAAATGGCCAAAAGGCCAGAAGAACTCCTATACCCAGCAAGGCACATTGCCATCTGATAACTTACATCTCATGTAAGTCAAAACTAGGCTGGAGTACTGACCAGGCACTGTCCTTCCACAAAGGTGGAGTCAAAGAACACTGTGCCCTCTCAGATGAAGCCACGCACGCTATCCCTGCATTCCCAAAACACTCAGTGACGTCCACACCTCTTTCTTCTGCTAAAGAGAACTAAATAACCATAGGAAACCAGCAGGAAGAAACTGCCAGGTCTTCCAAGAGCATTTTTTCTGCTCAATGTCACTGAGTAGCACTTTGAACATGATGCTTCTATAAAGCATTCAGCTTTCCCCAAGATGCATGAACAAAAGGAAAAAGGTGACTGTTCCCTATCAGTATGTTTACATTATCTTTTTTTTTTTTTGTTTTTGTTAACACCACCCTCATATTTTTAAAGAAATGTTTATCGTGCAGAGTCTCACTCCCCCACCCCAATTCTTCCTCTAAGAAAAAAGGCTTTACTTCTGATTGATTCTAAATGGCCCTCTGCTTCCTCTGGCCATTGTTCCAAAGAGGGAGGAGTATTCAAAACCCCACAAGTTTGTTTGAGATTTCCTGGCTAAAGCCACAAAGCTCATCTTTACATGTACTTGCTTGTCCAACAGAATTATTGCTCCTGCTGCTTTCCACGACCCCAGACACTGAGGCATACACGTCAGGCTGGGAACTTAGCCTTTTGACTTCACAGAGAGCCAGAAGGACACTTAAGTTGTTTTGAGTCCATGAATAGGTAATCAGTTCTCAGCCTCAGAGAATGACGGATTTTTCTGCTGTATCACAAGATTTGTATGCTGTGAGATAACCGTCTCCCAGCTCTGGCCAGCAGAAAAGAGTTCACAGTGCAAACTATTCTGCATTAGAGTCAGGCGAGAAGTAGGAACTCAATTCACAAAAGGTAAGCAGCAGTGTTCATCAGTGTGGTGAAGCAAAGAATGCGTCCCACAAAAAGAAGTGTCAAGAAATGTACAGAATTTCTTCTGGAAACACGTACAAGAGACGGATTAAGTATTCACCCCCCTTGCACAAAATATGATTGCAATTAGGAAAATGAAAATAGCTTGCCTAAATACTCAAATCCCCTGCTCCTGGAATTTATCTCTGTCCCCAAGGCCTATCATATTTTGCAGCTTCAGCGGTTTTTAACACGTGCTCCAAACAAAGTCCATTCCTACACAATCAACCAATTGCCAAGGCAGCAAGAGTTAATTACCCGTAGCTCTTGCCAAATGTTTAAGTCGTATCAAAACAGACTGTCACAAGAAGACAATTAGCACTTATTTGGCAGAGAAGATACAATCTAATGAAGGTAAGCATAAATCAGACTTTGAGGTTCCTCTTCCATTTCACTCTGAGGCTGCACAGGGGCAAATATTTTGCATATGACTTCAGAGGAGAAAGCAGCTGTCAGATCTCCATAATTTCTGAGAATATACTATCCCATAGCAATGAGAGACCCGAGGGGAGAATAGAATTGGTAAAATCACATTACACTTGCTTCTTCCAAAGCACATTCATTTCATACCTTTATTTCAGAAAGCTGCATGACTTCTGGGAAGACTTCAATGCAGTTGGAATGAGCAATTACAGTATGCATACGTCTGCAGTTCATGATGGTCGTTGGAATGGCTTTCAGTTTGTTCCCACTAATATCAATTTCTTCCAACTCTTCCAGCTTGGCCATTTTGCTGTGAAAACAAAAATTTGAGACTTCTTCTTTTAATAGACATGCATATTTTATTTTGAAGTGGCAATAAGAGCAGTGGTTTTCATTATTTTAAGAAAATAAAATCGTAGACTTTGACTCTTGTTCACAGCATTGCCTGTCACCTCTCCTCACACATATGCTAACACAGTCGTGGAACGAAATGTGTGTTTCTTCCAGTGTTTGTTAATGCTACCTTTCAGATTACTTTGCTTACATTGCCCCTGCCCACCAGCTCACTTTCACTCTTTTTCCTCCCTTCTTTCCCTTTCTTTTGACCCTAGTTTCTCATTCCATCTCAAATTTTCCCCTCCACCGTCTAGCACCCCACTCACCCCTTCCCCCTAAATTCATCTCCAACCCTCCCCCTTGCCACTGAAGCCCAGCTGCTCAGAACATCACACAAGGACAGAGATGTCTTTTCCATTATTTATTGGCAACCCTTTTCCAAGGTTGTACCCCATCGGTTTTACAGCACATCTTCCACTTGAAAGATTTCTGATTAAAACAGAGTGAGTTGAAAGTACAGAAATTGCTGGCAAGGCAGAATCTCCTTCTGGAGCTGAGAGGATTTTTCCCTAGTGGAGTATAGTCCACATTGAGAAGACATTTCCAGACCATTATGCTTGCTAATCTCTTGCAAGGAGAAGCCCACCAGGTGAAAGCAAAGTGACCAAGGCAGGCAAAACAGATGACCTCCTTGCTCAACTTTCAAAAGCATAGCGTAGCCATGCTGAATTAGTCCAGCTCAAAAGAGTTTCAAGCATCATTAAAACTTACCAACCAACATGCAGCACTTGCTTGACCATGTACTGCAAGAGAGGGTAGCAATGTGCAAGAGAGCATAAACAGGTGAATCCACCCATGGCAGTACCACTACATTCAAAATAAAGCCTATGCCACCACATTTCTGTGCAGCTTAGTTCTTGCTGTGAAAATATTTCACGATGCCCACCCACCAGTGGGCCAGAGGCAGTGAAACTTACCTTGCAGGGAAGCTCTGTAGGCGATTGTAAGCCATGTGCAAGATTTTCAGGTGTGGGTGGCCTGTTAACAAGGGTACACATTTATCTGTGAGGTTGTTATTGGTCAAATACAACTCCTGCAAGATGCTGTGGGTTTCTTCAGAAAGGGTGGCTGGAGGAAGCATTTCCAGTTTGTTGGCAGAGGCATTAAGAAATCTCAGGCTGCAAAGAGAAGTTACATAAGGGTGTTCACTGAAACATCCTGCAGGTTTTGTCTAGAAGTATAAATAAAAATCTCTGTTTTTAAGAGGTAACTTAAGTTAGTTACAAAGCAAAGGTCAAAAGTCACAAGTTCACAACAACAGACAGGAAGACCAAAAGTCTAGCACTAAAAGAACAAAATTTCTGTTTGTGTTTTTAAATGACCACATTTCTAAGAACAAAACATCAGCAAAATGAGTATGTCAAAATTCCTCTATTCTGTTATCAAGACCTCAGTACCTCCAACGTTAAGGCAGACGTACCTTAAGGTAAGAGCAATCACAAACCACATCATTTCCATATTCATTACACACAAAAATGAATTCTGTATTCATCATCAACGAATCATGAGAGCATAGCTGCTTTTCAAATGACTAAACAAGTCAATGGTAAAAAAAAGTCAGCCAATGTTTCAGTATTTTAAATACTGTCTAGGGTGCAGACAGTATTTTGTTTAAACCTGAAGGTCTGACAGCAACTACAAAATATGAAAAAGTACTCTTTGAATATTTGGATACCTAAAGATGTACCCAGCACAAGAAAAAAACAAAGCCTGGGACAAAGCAGTAATTTGCCTTTTAGCTTTTAAAGAGAGACATTCCTGGTAGCAAATTAAATTTAAAAAGCTATATACTTGCTTGCTGATGTGTGCAGCAAGACAGCCAGATCTCTATGTAGTTTCTCAGTGCCCTTCCCCTGTTCATAAAAGCAGCAGAAGCCCAAGTCAAGTATTTTTTTGCAGTCCCACCACAAGCAGCAAGGACTGAAGAAGCACAGAAATGAACTTATTCTTTCTCCCCCAAAGGACTTTTTCCAGGATAGGAACAAGACCTGATGAGGTATAGGCACTGCCCATTCCTGCAAGTGAAGTTCTGGGGGCAGAGTATTCATGCTTGTTAGGGGAGCTTGGTGATCACAGCAGCACTGTAGGTATCTTGAGGGCTGGAATTCACACCAGCAAATCCAAAGATATGGAAAAATAAAACTACTTAACCTTTGGTAACCAACTTTGGCATAACCATGTCTTTTCAGCAGAAATATGACTGCTCTTCCTTCCTCCCTTTTTCAGAAAAGGCTGCCTCAGAGAGATACAGAAGTGTGTGTTGCCAGTCTGCAGCGACTGCGTTCAGACCAGCCCGTACTGCTCCTACCAACCAAGAGGAATGGGCAGCTGCAACGGGCAAGGCTGAGTTCAACAAACAGAGACTCATAAGTGTGCTGTCTGAAGCCTGTACAGCCACTGATCGGGACACAAAAGGTAGGTGCATTCCTGCCAATCTTAAGAGAAAGCGATAAAAAATTGATAGCTGCTCCCATGGACGCAGGAGTCCACACTGACCTTGAGGGCCTATTAATGAATGAAATGGATTTGCAAGAGTAGCAGCTGGTTGAAACTTGCTCAGCAGTAAATAAGGGTCAAACATGCTACAAAAGTCACGTGGAATGCCAAAGGATTAAAAAAACCACACTATTTCCATTAGAAGCAAAAAATCTCTCAGCGTTGCACAGAACTGAAACTAGGTTAGCTGTTTTACACAGACAGAGGAGTCCACTTCAGAGAAACACAGTTTAATCCTCAGGCTCATTCATTATTCACAAGGGTGCTAAAAATCCAGAGGAGGAAGGGAGGAGAGGAAGGATTAATATAGCGAAGGGAATAAGCAGCTGAAAGGGGTTTTAAATTTATTTATTTATTCTAAAAAGATGCTGCTCAATTTCACCCTTTAGCTAGAAGCTAAAAATAAATTAAGCTCATTCGAATTTGGATCACTAAACTGAAGCATAGCACATTAGCAGATCCTGTACTTAATTAAACACCAGCAAGTACACCTATTGCTAGAAGTACAGACAGCTACTACTTCGGCATCTTCAATCTAATGTGCGTGATTATCTTCCCTCTCCACAAAAAAAGGCACCTTTATTAACATTAAAGCCACAGTATTCTTTGCCCCACTAATAGTACAAAATAATCAGCTTCAGCTCAGTCTGGAAAGGCTTAAGTAATAAACAGGTTTAAAGCTGCTGGGAAAAGTGAATTTTTACAAGAATATGATGGGGATGAGGAGGTGGCAGCAAAACACTCCCCAGGAAAGGTCATGCTCTGCTACCCTGAAGAAGGATCTGTGTTTTACTTTTGTTCTTGCAAGCTACAGGAGAATAACCTGGAGTGTTTCACAGATAGCAGTGGCCAAAGAGGTAACCTAGAGAGCATCAAAACCTATGGCTATGAAGTTCACTCAAGAACAGCTAGCCCAAGTACAACTAAAAGCTTCAAGTAAGAAAAGGTACATTGCTCTGATAAAGCTGAAATTAATACAGTGTACTATAAACTGAAGCCATTTCAAATTTGAAAGAGAAATGAATCAAACTTTCTTCTGTTTGTAATAAACTTTTAACATTGGTGGAATACAACAAGAAATGTAAAAGTTGTTCCCTCACTGGTACTAAAACTGAACGGAATCTATGTATTCCTGCCAGAAAGAAGTTTTGATGTATTTATTTTCCAGTGGGGAAAGGAGAGAGGAGAGTTGATGTTCTGCACACACACACCCTTCCCCCCAACCCTGCCCTTTTGCCAAATCTTCCAGGGAGTGATACAACATTGTAAATAAATCCTCATCATCCTAATCTACAGTTTAGTGTCCTAAACAAAGTTTAGGTGACCAGCAAAAACCTTGCCAACAGCCTGGAACGGGAACCCTGTCATAGCAGGGTATCTCTCCTTAAACAACTGACAGTCAGAGATTAATTATACTCTAATCTCTATCTGTAGATGACAGAATTAAATTAACTTTTAGAAATGAGTATTCTGCTTGCATATATGTTCCTTTTGACCAGCTGTTACATTAAAATGGCAAAAACATTCTGAAATGATAATTCTTTCAAGATATTGTCTGTATTTAAAAAGAGAAATAAAATTAAAAAGGAACACCATTTTTGGCCAAAGAACAGAATGAACCAGCAGATTGCTACTGCCAAAAATGTCAATTCTGTGCTATAATATTATGTAAGAAAGCCCCCAACCAACACCAACAACAACAACAAAAAAACAAACCAAAACAAAACACACCACAAAATCCAAAAAAAACCCAACCAACAATAAAGCAAACCAACAAAACCCCAACAACACCTAAAACTGTACTTGCCCATCACATTTTTCCTCACACTGATTTAAGACAGAAGTCCTCCTCCAGGTTATTTCCACTCCCCTATTTCTTCATCCCTGTGCAATGTGCCAGCTGCTACCTTAGAAGGCACATCTTATAAATGCCCTCCAGAGGAGTGGAAATTTACTTGAGCACAACTGTTCCTATCTCTCTTGTGTATGGACTTGAACTGATTCATGTTCCTTGAAGATATCCCACTCATACTGCTTATCAGATGGAACCAGAATGTCAAGTATTAAAGCTCAGTCCAAAATTAATTGTTTCCCTTTCCAATTCCACCCACATATTATACCACAGGCTCATGAAAAAAAACTACAGCATCACTACAAAGACCTGCATTCAGCAGCCTGCACACATACCAGAGTATAATACAGAGAGGAAAGCATGAATTAACAAGTACTAAAAGAGCGTTGGAGATTAACAAAGAAATGAAGGCACTGGCAGGGAGATGTCAGAATTCTTCAGCTTTGACAAGGTGAATATTCTCCTCTGGTGTTATAATATAAACAGTAATCTCTAGCTGGAAGAAGTCACCTTTGGTTTTATGAGGTATTGAAGTACAGTCCCTCGCTGGATTTAACTTCTCCAAGAGGCAAAACAAGAAAAGACTGTCCAAAGAATAGGCCAGAATCAGGGACGTGGATCTAACAACAAAAAAGACCTAAAATGCAGTCACAAGCATTCCCTATTTATACCCAGGGGATTCTGATCAAGGTTTGAACCTTGCCTACCAGTGTCATGAATGCCTACCTCTAGCACACACAAAAGTTGAAATCAGACAAATGTGAGAATACAGCATCTCTCAATTCCTCATAATTTTCTGAAGTAGCTTGGCAAACTTGGCTTATTGGTAAGACAGAGCCACTACTGAAGGAAATACAAAGTTCTCTGAAAAGCTTAGGAGCATTTGACAAGGAGGAACACAGACAACTGCATTCAGTGGTGGAGCAGCAGCAAATCAAAACCACTGTGTTTAGCTTGAAAGTACTGATAAGAGTTAGAAAGAACACTGCAGTTGTAAAAAGAGAATATGCAGAGATATCAAGATTTTCAGTTTGGCCTATGCCCCAAGATCTCCATCAGTACAGAGCAATCAAAATACAAAATTTCTTCTTCGGTGCCTTCTGCAAAGACATGCCCTCAATTTCTGGTCGCCTAATACTAAAATAATTTATGATTGTAGTAGCAGGCGTATGAGGAAGAATCCTGTATGCTAAGCATGTCTGGGGGGAAAAAAAGGAGAGGATAAAAAAAATCAAGGCTGTTTCACCAGCCCATGCAAAAGAGGGTATTTCTTCTTTAAAAAATAAATAAATAAAATAAATTAAAGAAAGGAAACATTCAAGTGAATCTCCTTCCTGCTGAGGGACTGCCAAAAAAACCACTTAACTGCTGCTGTCTCCTCAGCTCTTACTTTCTAACCTCTCTTAGTTGTTTTATTAATTGGGATTTCCCCAGTTTCTAACATACCTGCTTGCAAATCCTTAACCTATCAACAAAGAGATAAATGCAGTTAAGCATTTCTTCAACACAAGAACGTGCATCAAACGCTCAAATAGCACTTGGCATTCATTTGACTGTTTCCTCCCTCAAACTTCCCCTGCATCCAGGATAGGACTGAATACTTGCATCACAAAGAAGCAGCCACAGTGGGTGGAAATGGCAAAAATCAAACAAGAGCAAGTTTAACTGGGTCACCTTTCAAAACTCCAGCAAAAAAACCCAAACCCCAAACAAATTAAATAAAATAAATTCAAAACATGCAGAAAATCAAATGAGATAAGAACAGCTGAA